TATTGTACTCATACGTGTTTCTTGCCACCACTAACCAGCGCCTCGAAAATGTTTAATCTCACCGGCTGGAGAGTTGGGTGGGCCCTGGGACCCGCAGATTGGCTCGGCGGGGTATGAGATACATTTGTGCCGGTCTGTTCTGGAAGTGGTTTCTGTGTGTTTGTATTGAAGCTAAGGCTGTGGGGAGTGCTGGAATCCGGAAGTCGACTAGTCTGATCGGTTCTTATTTTAAATTTGAATTTTGCAGCTTTTCGTGATTTTTTTTGTTTACTTTGCTTCGCTCGATTGTTGTTATTTGACCTTTGTTATGGCTCTGATTTCTGAAGAGCTAATGAGTATTATGACTGTTTTGTACTTCGTGGGGCGATTACAGTTTCAGGGTTTTCCAGAGTGTAACTACCTTCGTGTCGTATTCTGTGGAAGTGAACCCTCCACCCATTTTTTGACTGTTCAATAGCAATCGATTATTATTTTTCTATGCGCAAAGTACGGACACAACCCATCATTAGCAACGACACATCCAAAATCAGTTTTAAGCTTGGAGAAGCTCGCACTAGTACATCTATATTACTGTTGCTGACAAATGAGTCGGACCACAAACAGATGTATACTAACGTTCAAAAACACGTGTTTCCGTTGTGCCTATGATATTGCAGTTCAAAGCCTTACACTCGTACATCACATACTGTGCTCCTACTCCGCTACAAGTCGGTGTAGCGGACGCACTCGAGAATGATACAGCAACAGAACTAGTTGTCTCCAAGGTAAGAAATGTGTGATCTCTGAGTACGTTTCGTGTATATCTCTTTCTCGCGACAAGATGTAAGTGGCTCAACCTTGCATTGCAATCCCCACATGTTGCCTCACCACGTCACCTTCCAGTGATATGTAAAGTCCTTGAGTTAATGGATGAAAAAAGTCCACATTTTCATCGATGGGCGGTGCTCACATCTTCTGGATCTTGGGCTCTAGTTCTGTCACGGATTGTATCATTTGTGATTTACGCTTATACTGCTAAATCACATTTTTTTGGTTCCAGGCGTTAGCACTACTACAGAGTGGATCGTTGGTACTATATACGTACCGTGCTAATCGTATGTGCCCTTTCTATGCAGATGTTCGCATCCAATGCACACATCCTGGGAGCTGCACTAGAAGCTCTCGGTGTGGAGGTAATCCTTCCAGAAGGGGGCTATTTCCTGATTGCTGATGTTGCTAAGACTGGTATGCTTTAATATATATCCAAATGTTCCTCCTTTCCTTGGTTATGTACTCGTTTTTCTTGGATGTATGAGAGAATTTATTCACGTATGAAACCTATACTCATGGGTTTATCATACAACCGCGTCCATGTATGTGTGTATATTGAAAGTAAATATGTACTTGAATTGTCACGCCAATGTGAGATCAAAGTTCTGACGTTCTACAATTCGTATTCGAATGTCTCTTCGCCACGCCCATCAATACATTGCGCGATTCTGTCGTCATAATCGTACTTGATGTTCCTTTTTTAGAGCTATATTATTGTGTGACCTCGATAGAAGGCTGTGGTAATGAGTGCGTTTGAACCCGGTTTCAAGTCAAGTAATACGTCTTAAGACTAGACATCAACCCATAACGTGCATTTTGCTTGCTGTAGTTATGCTCGGAATTTGGACCACGACTGCAAAACAGCAGCTGCATATATATGGGGTACAATCATTCGACTTCGTTTGAAGTCTGAGTCACCTGTGATACCAATCCAGTTTCGTTCCAACTATGGTGCTGTAGTGACAGTCTAAGGGGTTCGTAGCATTCTACCCCACTTCTAGGCCTATGGAAACCATTCTTAACATCGTTGCCATTACCATCATTTGGGTGTACAGGCAAGTCTGACACAGAGTTTGTCGAATGGCTTGTGAAGACCAAAGGTGTCGCAGCCGTCCCGATGAGTGTCTTCTACCAAGACCCACCCGCTGGTACCACCAAAAGGTATGGAAACGCCTTTGTATCCCATCCTGTGCTTCGTCGCGATGTTATTGCACGTATATTGAGTACGTAAACGTGAATGCTTGTTGCTGTCATGCTAAAGAAAATGTGAAGCGTATCTGCTCTTGTGCCGGTTTTGGGTCTGCCCATGTCACCGTGTCGCTTCTTTACGTAATATTGTTATGTAGCTGCGATGTCAGTATTCCGTGTTGTGCGCATGTGTACTGGAGTAGAATTTTTTAGTCTGCTTCCCAGATGATTTATCTTGTATCCATGCATAGAGATTTGGTGTGTGTTTTGCGATGGGTGAGCACTTTTGATTCCCTCACATCTGTGGTGCGAATCATTACCTAAAGTCTCTTCGTGTGTAGAGATCGTATGTGTACCAATCGCAAATCACCCGTTCTCGCTGCGTATTCAGTGCATATATCCCGTCCTCGGCGCCTACAGTATTCATGCATATGCTCAATACTCCCTCTGCACATGTAGTTCATATATATATATATGCTCAATAATCCCTCTGCGCATGTAGTTCATATATATATATACCGCTCTACTTTCCGTGAGATGAGCTAAGCTAAGAATAGAGCAGTCCATCTCATCCGTGACTGCCAGATTCGTTCCCGGTAATATTTTTGACTGGTTTGAAACAAAGGTTTATACTATATCCTGAAACCTCTATATATAGTCATACTATTCTAATTCCCTTCCAGTGCAAATATGAATATACTGTTGATGTTGGCTGGTTTTCAATTTCTTCATGTCTCTTTACAGATGCACACTAGTCCGCTTCGCGATCTGCAAACAAGAGGATACAATTGCTAAAGCTTGCGAACGACTTAGGAAATAAACTCCCAAGCTATTCTCGTAGAATTGTGCTATTGTGGACACACATTGAATTTGGTGACGCATAGTATTAGATGGGGTAGGTTTCTTTTTCCGATTCTCATGAAGTTCTTAACGAACCCATCGAATATTCGCATGTTAGACAGGAAATGCAGGCGATTAATTAATTTACTATCATTTACGCACAGCCTCTGTTCTGTTGTTCACCCGCACACTAAATTACCTTCGATAGTGTTCTCATTCAGTGTACCAAGAGACCTAAAACGCTCATATTATTTGCAATACATCTAAGTCCATCTGCGGGAAATGTTTCTTCTGGCAAAAAAATGACCGTACAGATATCTTTTAAGCCACAGATTCTTGTGTTGTATTAATATACATATAATTTGTATATAAATATATATATATTTATATAATACATATTTATATATTTATATAATACATATATATATATATAATACATATTTATATATTTATATAATACATATATATATATATAATACATATTTATATATTTATATAATACATATATATATATATAATACATATTTATATATATATATATATCTACATATATTGCAAGTATGTGTGTATATAAATATGTATTTTATATATATATATACATATGTATTAATATATATATATATACATATATATATATGAGCTCAGTCTTTATTATTATTTAAAGTTGGCCATTGATGGGGTTTTTTCTTGTGTACTACGAACCATCCTCGCTCGCTGCGATGACCCGCTAAGGCTAGGCCTCCAGGCATTAGTTGAAGGCTACTGTCGTCGTTATACCAGTTTTATTTGATTGGCTATTGATGTTTGTGGAATCTGTGTGCGTATATATCTGGAACCCTGTGTACATATACATTTTGCGTCTGTCTATCATAGGAGTCATATTATCACGCAGATCACAGGTAGGAGTTGCATAGCTTCCCGCAGATATAACTTTATACTGCAAAATCAAACCATCAAAGGATTTCGAAAATGGTTGAATCGCATCTACGTCTGTATACTCGGAACGGTAAAAAGCTCGCTATACAAATAAGCGTAACAAACCGTGTTTAGTCAACGATCTCTCGTTACTGCAAGTATGCAATGACAAAATTCGTTCCATTGATCTACTGGAATATACGTGACAGTTCTAACATTTTTAGTACGTTTGTGACAGGTATGGAAGCAAAGCACTACGAACATAAGTTCAGATCCATATTCATTGCCCCACAAATCACAAAATTACTAATTTGTCCACATATTTTCACGAGACGAATGCATAAGAGTCGCCAAGGAAGTATATTAGCAATGCGATACTTTATCCGATTTTATATGCAATATTGTCAAAGTATAAATTAAACCCAATACCTCTCACAAAGTGCCATGGACATACCATGTCACTTAATTACGCGAATCGCGCATCGTACAGTTCACTGCTGTTCTCCAATGCGCCCCAACTACTTTGCACAACTAACTTCATCTATCTCTAAATATACAAGGCTCGATAGCCTGTCCCACTATTGCATGTGTGCGTACCTGCCTATCACCGAGTTTTGCTGATTGGCTAATGTAGGCCTGTCATATCCGATCACTGGTCATGGTAACTAGACCTCCGAATAGAGCCGATATTCAAAAAGTCGTTCTTATTTCGGAAGAACATGCTTGTTTCAAACAACCCCTCAATGATGCAACACGACACTATCTCCAGTCTACAAAAGCCTTGCGAATAGTTCCTAGCTCTACTGCTCACACGCCTCCAGTACACTCGTCACCAGTACTTCCCTCGTGGCCTTATACGACTCAGAGCCAGCTAAACACTCAGCAAAGGTCTTCTTCTCGCCGGTGGTCTCGTCGATCGTACCCGCACCCGCAGTCAGCGACGGGTCAATGGGGACGCGCGTGATAAACGGCACATCGAACTCTTTCGCCATGTTCGAACCGCCCCCGGATGAGAATATGTTTGTGATTTCCTGAGGTGGGTGGGGGTGATATGCACGGGTGTCCATGCCATACGTGCTGTAAGCTCTCAGAAGGATTGGGGTGAACATATGTGCAAGTTTGCGTACGTTCTGAACTTTGCAGCTACGAAGAATTACTTAACATGTGTGTGCTAGCGCCACGATCTAGTCATGCGCAAACGTCATGCCAGGTAAGAGCGTACATCAGATGCTTCATGCCAGATATGAGCGTACATCAGATGCTTCATGCCAGATATGAGCGTACATCAGATGCTTCATGCCAGATATGAGCGTACATCAGATGCTTCATGCCAGATATGAGCGTACATCAGATGCTTCATGCCAGATATGAGCGTACTTCAGATGCTTCTAATGTAAGGCTGTACTCGTATCAAGGTCGAGCGACCACCAGTGAATAATGGTGTGTAGATTGAATTGACAGGCCGAACTGTGCTTAACTTTTTATGAACCAAAGGAAGAACGAGCTAAACGAAGTGACAGCAGCAGTTGTGACAATCGCCACAGGTTTCCGAGAAAACAACATACCCCGCAACACGGACAGCAATAGCCACTCATGTTTTCCACCACACCAATCACCGGCAATTTAGCGCGCTTGCAGAAGTTCAATTCTTTCCTCACATCGGCTGTGGACATGTCCTATGACACAAGAAAAAGAATGAAGGCTTAGGTCGAGGATGCATTAGGTCAAACGCAGTCAAGAGGAGAGCGGGATGCAAGTGTGGGTGTTTATTGATGGCATAGGCTCGATAGAATAGGATGTGGTAGTGGTGGTTTCATCTCTGAAACTCGTAGGAAGTCTTTAACTAGTATATAAACTATAATATTATCATTTACATAGAAGGCTATTGTTTTTACAGCGTGAACGTAATGCTTCATCGTATAGATTAGTATATAAACTATAATAATATCATTTACATAGAAGTCTATTGTTTTTACAGCGTGAACGTAATGCTTCATCGTATAGATTACCAGTTTATTGATGCCTGGGAAACGACTCTCAGAGGATTCGACAGTCTACAAGTACCGTACATCTGAGGGCTGATTCGTAAACACACGTCAAACTAGTCACTACAATGAATGTATAGGGCGGAATAGACTAGCATATGTACCTATGTGTATCCATGCTGTTGCACAGAAGGCGAAATCAAGGAACGCAAGACTTATGAAATCAAGGAACGTGAGACTTACGAAAGAAATGCTGATCGGCATTGCGAGTATCAAGTGCGCAATGATTAACAAACAAAATTGAAAGCATGCATCACAAACATGAGCATGATATAGAGACACTCTGCTCCCACACATAATGCACGGCGTCAATCATGTTCGGCAGAAAGATGTCGATAGAATCTCATAAAACAATTACAACGTAGGAAGAAGAAAGTGTCGACCGCGCACATCAATAAGTCGCCAGGGCATCGCATCACAGTCGCAGAATAATAGAAAGATGGAACCACGCATATCATGATAACACAAATCCCGGCAGATCAAATACATAACAATGTACCGCAATTGCACTCATTACAATTAAACGAAGACCTCGCTGAGGGTCAAACGCACGTGAAATTGTGCTAGACGTTTGCAGGTGGATGCAAAGAGGGTACCCGTCTGAAATCGCCTGAAACCCACTATGCATGCATATATTTATGTTAATTCGCGTGTGCTTGAACATACACGCGCATATGCACATACACATCTTTTCTGAGATAAATTTCCACATATACATTCACATACTATCACATATACTTTCAAATATATTTCACATACACATGTGGCTTGCAAATATCGTACATGTGTATATGCACATTGATGGATGCTTCTATATATACACAAAAACGAGTGTACCTGGGGCGTGGTGACTACAACGCACCCTTCGGGCTTGTACACCCTCAGATGCTCAACGATGGAAATATGCTCGTCAGATGTTCCAGGCGGAGTATCGATCAGTAGATAGTCTAGCTCGCCCCACACCACATCTGTAAGGAACTGCTTGACCATAGCCGTTTTTTTGGGGCCACGCCATACAATTGGGTCGTCCGGATTATTGAGCAGAAACCCGATTGACATCAAAGATAGGGTTTGGCTTTTGTTGAGGAATACAGGCACCCAGCCCTCGTCACACTGGTGAATATTCTGATTTGCCACCCCGAAGATGGTGGGTATGGATGGACCGCAGAGATCTATGTCCAAAATTCCGACTGTCTTGCCCTCTTCTACTAAGGATAGGGCTAGCTGTGTTGTGACGGTGCTTTTTCCCACACCACCCTTTCCAGATAGCACAAGCACAACGTGCTTGACCTGTATAACAATTGCACAAAAACTTATTCATCAGGTGTGTATAAAAACATATAGCGATTGTACAATTGCGAACGATAATTCTTGAGAGGATTTCTATGTGCATTTCTTTGACAGTATGAGCAGACAAGTATTGTGGTTGACGAACATGCAAATTGGATGAGCATATTCGGATTCAATCTCCAATAGTCTCCAGAAATGTTATAAAAAAAGTACTACAATGGCACGGTTGTCGCTATAATCAGTCAGCAATATACGTGCCTTCACTCTCCTGTGATTTGTTTTACAGCAATACACTACGATATACATGGCAGCATATTGAACATATAAATTAAAGTACACACCTTAATAATATATATAGATATAAATATATATATATACATATATGTATTATTTATATATATATATATATATA